GGTGTGGGGGCGGATGGCAGCGCTGCGAGGGGGGACATCGCCTCTCCACGCCATCCAGCACCCACTGCAGCGTTCCCATCCCCGGGCATTGTTGTGCCAGGCGCTGGGCCTGCCCTTCCCGCCCTGCTCGGTGCCCTCCCGGTGCTTGGGCCTCGTGTCAGGAATTCTCGGGTGGCCGGGGGTGTCTGCCTCCTGTCTGCGCTCGGGTTACTGAGAACCAGCAAGAGCCGTGTAATGATGGCTGGGGACATGAGATGAGTCTCTTTCTAGAACGAGCAGCCCTGGCAGAGCCGTGCCAGCGCCTCTTCCTGCCTTAGGATGGGACCGGAGCACCCGGAGAGCTCGGTCTGTGCCCCTGAGTGCCAGGGAGGTGGCTGAAATGCTCTGATGGTAACAGGAACTGGCAGCGTCACCTATTTCTGCACCAACTATAAAATCCCGTGCATAAAATTGACTTGATGGGAGTCATGGATCCGGATCTTCCTTTCCTTCTGCTTTTGGGTTCAATTCGAGCTGGTTAAGGGAGCTTTCAGTGCCCGCCTTGCTTGAGCTGCCCTGTTAAACAGGAGCTGTTCTCTGCATTGGAGTGGAAAGGATTTTAATCACAAAGCCTGCGTTTAAGCTGCCCCTTTTCTTGGAGCCTTCCAAAACTGTTGCTGACCCCATGGCCTGTCAGCAGCCTCTGTGGCAGGGATTAAGTTCAGCTAGGATGGCAGCCAAGCAGTTGCCACTGCGACTAATGTCGTCAGAGAACAGTGTTTATCTGTGGCTGACTGAAGCCTGATTCTGAACATGACATATGCAATAATCTGAATGTTTTGTCCTGTCTATGTTCCTTCCACTCTGGGGAATTCTGCCGAATAACGTTGCCATGAACAACCTGTTTCAGTTGAAGAGTTGGTCAGACCTCTATGTGCTTGCGGTCACTCACTCCCCGTGTCTCTTGTGTTGCTGGTTAATCTTTAAAAGTATTTTAATTAGCTAGTATCTCTGCTCTTGAAGTGTTAAGGCTGGCCTGTAGGAGCGTGGCTTGGGCTGTGGGGTGGGAGGCAGGATGGCTGTCAGTCTTGCAGTCAGGTGAGGGCTTTGCATACTCCTCGCCTGAGTTCTGCTTGATTCACCTCCAGCTTAAAACCGTGATTCACGTGAGTTGCATTTCCTTACTGGAAAGGCTGGTGGATGTATTTGATGCACACAAACTTAGTGTGACTAATGGAGAGCTGAGTGATGCTGCTGCTGAGTGACAGGACAGGCAGTGTGTCCTGTGCATTAACGTACCAGCAGTGAGCTGGGCTGATGGGTGCCTGTCTCAGCTCTTCCTCCTCCATGAGCAGCACCTCTCCCTGGCTAGGTGTCTGTTAAGGCTGTGATGCAACACTAATTCTTTTGTCTGAGAGGTGTTTATAAGATGGAGGTGGCCTGGACAGCCCTGCCCTGCTGAAAAGAACAGGAGACGTTAAAATTTAGTTCACTGAATCTGCAAGTAGGCAGGGTAAAAGCAGATGCAACTGCCTCTAAAAGCAACTGTGCCTGTTTACTTTGGCTCAGACGTGTACTTCAGCCTGGTTTATAATATCTGTGCTATTAATATTTATGTCTGGGGAGGGATGAACTTTATCCTAAAAACTGTGACAGTGGAGTGTCTAGGTGCACAACAACCTACCAACAGCTTTTGCAACGATGGGTGCGGCATAATCAAAACAGAAAGCTGGAATCCAGTAACCAGAGAGCCCTGGTGTAAGCTGATGCTGCCAGGCCTGAGGCTCAAGTAGTTGTGGACAACTTCCTCTTCCTGGGAACTCACAGAAATAGTACAGGGTATTTGGTCACTAACTTGGGTGCTGTAATTTGATGCCATAAATTTATGAGATTAGATGTCTGCTTTAGCAGGCAGAAAATGAAGGAGGGGTGTGTGTGGGAGGGGTCTGCCTCTTTTAATGCTTTCTAGATGTCCCAGGCAGTGTGCAGGGAGTACTTGTCACCTTGGGTTAGGGACCAAGGTGTCAGCTGTCACAGGAGAGGTTTTGGTTGTGACGGTGCTGTCCCATTTGAAAACTGCATTGGCTGAATGTGCTCCTGTGGTTTTTGCTGCCATGCAGCCCCTCTCTTCAGGGGTGGAGAAATAACCTAATCACAACATTAAGTGTGGATGTTTGAACAGCCTTTTTTTTTTGTGGTTTTTTTTTAATCTCTTGCAGAGCAGAGAGTGGAAGATGTGCGACTGATCCGAGAGCAGCATCCAACTAAAATACCAGTAAGTCTTGTTCTTTCAGCTTTTCACTTCAATTTCCAGTCTCATGTTCTCTTTTGTAGTTGGAAAACCTGTAAACACAGCTGTCCTGATGAAACCAAATTAAAATTTGGCCACTCAGTGTCATTAAATCTGGATTTCAGAAACATTCTCAAATGAGTGACACAGGCAAGGTGCTGGATGGGGACTGAAGGAAATGGGCCTTCCTGTGTACTGAGGGTACATGTTGTAACTTCAAAGAAAGCCACACCCTGGCTGAGCTGGGAGATTCTCCTGAGGGTTCAGCTCTTCTCATCTCAGTGTTTTTTTTTTCCCTGAAAGAGGAGTCTGCAGAGGCTAACCAAGAAGAAAAGATGTGGCTTTCATCCCCAGTCTGTACTGAGAAAGGCAGAAACACAAGGGGAAAACAGACCTTTGCTTGAGGTTTCAGAAGTGCTGCTTCTCTGTCAAACCCCTCCACCTAGTGTAGGGCCACTTCAGAGAGGGGATCAACCCTCCCCTTGTCACTCTTCTTTACCTCATCACCTTCAAATGCTGCCTGAATTTTTATTTAATTGATGGCATCACCAAACTGACAAATGCAAAGCAGCCTGTGAAACAGCAGGCAGGGGTCTTGATCCGTGGGTTTTTCACAACTGGTGGGCTTTTGTGTGATGGGTGTCACTGCAGTAAGCAGGAAATGCAACCATCCTTGTGGCCATTGGGAGGAGCAGGGAAGGTCTCAGGAGATCTTGGGGGGCAGAAGAGAACTTAAATCGGATGCCTCAGCCTGTGGTTGTCAGTGATGAGAGCTGATGATCCCCCAGAGTGAAGATTTTTCTTTGAACAAACTGCTTGCAAACTGCAGTTCCAGTGCAGGTTCATTATCAGAAGCAGCTGTTGCTTCATGGCAAACAGAAACCAAAAGGCTTTCAGTTTCCTTTTGCTATAAAGCACTGCACCTGCTGCTGCTGTTTTACTAAGTTGTTGGGCATGGGAACAAGTCATAATTTCTAGCAGAGATTTTCTGACTTTTCTGGAATAGGCAGTTTCCCCCCAAAGGCCCTTTCCTAACCAAGCAGTTTCCTGACAACAAATAGCTTTTTCACCTACCTTTCCCAGCTCACTTAGCCACAGTCCCTGAGCTCTGTGCCCACAGAGTGAAAGCCATTGATTTATAGCAAAGCTCTCATTTTAAGTCAGCCATGGACATATTGCTAACAGAAATTCAGAGGTACCCAAGCAACTTGCTGAAGGTGGAGTGATGCAAACCTGCAGCTATGGTAGAGTCCTGCTGGGATCCCTGGAGGCTTGCTGTGCTTCCCTGTCCATGTCCTAGCTTGAGTCTCTGCCTCGTTATTATCATCAGCAGTTCTGGAAGAGATAAGATGGCAATGTCAGGCTAGATGGTAAATCCATCCTGTGCTGTCAACATCCTTTATTTTGCTGTTGGAAATATTATCTACTGGTTATGGTCTAACTTTTTAAAAATAATGTGGGGTTTTTTTCCCCCCCCCAAAAAAATGAGCCAGCATTTATTTAAACTGTAAGGAAGTCTATGATATAATTAAATTGGCTCAATATCTCTTCACCTGGTGCAGCTTTTGAGTATCAACCCAGCCAGACCCCGTGAGCATGGAAGTGATCCAAGGGAATGGTGTCACGTAGCTACTGTTGATTTCAAAACAACCAAACCCACGTGGCTGTGGAAACGGGAGCACATGGATTCTGAGATCATTTCTTAAAAGCAGGAACTAAACACAGTTGCTGGGCAGGCTGCTGCTTAAATTGGCAAATCTGCAATTTCCTTGTGAATTAAAGAGTTATTACATCACAGTCTTGACAGAATTACTGGTTCTTAAGCATAAGGAGGAGGAAATTCTTTCCTTTGAGGCTTTATACCCTTCAAAAGTAGCTTTCCCTCATGCATTAGAGCAACTGTGGAAGGTGAATGGGAGAGCATACAAATCTGGAGGTGTAGTTCTTAGAAAGACATGGCCTGAAACTGGAGAAATTCCAGTGAAAACTGCTTGAGTTTGCAGACTTCCACTTCCAAATCCCTAGTCAGCCACTGTAACCTGTTGGAGGGAAGTTTCCTTGGATTTCCATGTTGCTGGGTAGTTCAGTGCTAGATGAAATGATTCCAGCAAATGAACTGTTCTAAAATGGTGCTGCAGCTGTGGATGTCCAGAGGGGCAGGGGAAGAGAAATAAATGGTTCCTTTTCAGGTTTGAGACACTGTGAGGGCAAATGAAGAGAGATGGACTTTAGATCAATGCCCATACTTTGCTGTGTGTGAAATGGAAGGGGAGGATGAGGCACCAGGCACCACTTCTGCCTTTTACAGCTTCTGCTCCTTTGTTTTCGTGTTTCTTTCTAGGTGATTATTGAAAGGTACAAGGGAGAGAAGCAGCTTCCAGTTTTGGATAAGACCAAGTTCCTGGTGCCAGATCATGTCAACATGAGCGAGCTAATCAAAATTATCAGGTAGTATGCTGTGATTTCAGTCTAAGCTGCATCAACCTAAGGCTGTGATCCTTTGTTAATTCCCCACCTGTGCATTTGGGAATGTGTGCATTTGGGAACTCTTTCCATAGAAAATTAGCCTAACGAGTGCGTGGTATCATCACTAGGACAAATGCATGAGAAGGTGTTTTTCCTTTGGCTTTGCTGGGAAAAATGCTGACAAGATGTGAGCTGGTAGTCTTCTTTCAAGAGAAGTAACTGGTTCCCAGAGATGTAGGAGGAAGTCTGGGGCTGTGAACCCCTGTCTAACATGGGAGCTTCTGGCTCGGGGCCCCAGCGCTTCCTCTGGGCTATTTTGGGGTGTCTTCTCAATGTTCTGCCTGGGAATCCCTCTCTGGAGTGCCTGCCTCTTCCCACCCACTGGAGGGGGAGTTCAGAGCTCTGAGCTGTTGCTTAGGGTTGATGTTGGCATCCTTTGTGAAATGGGGTTTCCCTCAAAGACAGTGTTGAGGCCTCAAGAACACACGTGTCTTTTTGTCCCAGCTCTTTGCACCAGCGGTGGCTTGAGTAGTGCCCTGCTCTGGAGCTTGAGCTTTGCTTACAAGAAAAGTAGCCGTGCTTACAAGGGGAAGTAGCTATGGAGTGGAAGTTGTGTGGTCTAAAATTGTGGTCATAAATTCTACTGTAAGTTCCTTTCTCCTGGCTTAGAAGGAGTATTTGATTAAGTCAGAGTTGTCAAGTGGTAAGCTTGGAAGTTAGCAGCAAACCAGATTTGACTTTTTTTGTATATGGTGTAGCAGGGAGCTGGTTGTTGGAAGCTGTAAAAACTGATTGTTGTCCCACATGTCCAGACAATCCCCTCCCTCAGAGGCATGTACAGAAACTTGTCTGTTGCAAGGAAATCCCAGCTCTTAATGAGTAAGAAAGTGAGGGTTTTTAAAGCAGGAACCAGATTGCTCAAGTGTTCCAAAACTTCTCATGAACATTAAAGGTTCTGGGCAAAAAGGTTAACAGCAAGCTGAAGGTTTTTCCCCACCTTTTTTTCTTTATCTTTGTTAGTAGGTGACTTGGTACCAGCTGGGCTTGGTCCTCAGCCAGCTCTTCTTGTGCAAAGCCTGTCCTTCCCAGCCCTTGGATAGTGGCTGCCTTCCCTCAGCTGCTGTCTCTGGGGCGATGAGAGTGGAGTTTTGGAAGGGTTCTTCCCAGGGCTGTGCCTGGCAGGCTAAATAAATCCTTGTTTCCAGCTGCTGCTGCCCCTCAGCAGTGAATGGAAGCAGCAGGAAGCTCTTCTGATCTGTTCTTTGCTTCTTTCTATAGTTGCACCTCTATGTATCCAAGTTCCCCTTGCTTAGTTTATGAAGTAGTGAGAGGGCTCCTCTCTGCAAACCTGCTTTCCAGTAGGCAGTTCAGCAGAAATGCCTATTTTCCCCCCAGTCAGAATCAAGGATTCTAGGGAGATCCCCAAGTTAGATGTTTACTGTGCCAGGCAGTCTGTGAAATCTGTGTCTCTCTGCCCTTCCCACAATGCTTCTCCTGGGAGGAAGGAGAAGAGGGAGGACCATGCTCCAAAGGGTAAACACAGGCTTTTTCAGAGCTGGTGACAGTGAGTTTAAAAGGTCTGGGGTCTTTGCATGGCAGCTCTGCCCATCCTCCCTCCCTGTCTTCACACTGATCTCTGGAGGTCAGCCTAGGTTTACATTTCCAGTGAGAAGCTGATCCTGGTTGTGCCAGGAGTACCTCTTCCTTTTGCCTTCAGTGGAAGGTCCCTCTGGAGCATTGCTTTCCCAGTGCAACAGGGCCTTCTGTCCATGTGTGTATCTGACTGGACTTGGTAGATGAATTTCATACCACTTTGAGGTGGGAAGCAAACACCTCCTCCAGTGGCAGGGCTGCTTTGGGCCGGGACATCTCACTGCTGTCACCGGTGGAGGACTTTGTTTTGCCACGGGCTAAGGTGAGTGGAAGTGCATGGTCCCCACAGTCACACTCCTTCTCCCCCTGCTCCCCCAACCCCCCAACAGGCGCCGCCTGCAGCTGAACTCCAACCAGGCCTTCTTCCTCCTGGTGAACGGACACAGCATGGTGAGCGTTTCCACCCCCATATCCGAGGTGTACGAGAGCGAGAAGGACGAGGATGGGTTCCTGTACATGGTCTATGCCTCTCAGGAGACTTTCGGAGTGCAATCTTCTGTCTAAGACACGCGGGCGGCTTCTAGCCTAGGATTTTGGTTTGCCCTTGGCCATCACCCCCACTCTTCCCCACACACACCCCAGGGAAAGAAACGGATGTCATCTACGCTCTCAGTACCTTAGCATAGTCTTGCTTTAGCAGGTGTCTCATCTTACCTTGCCTTGTTTGTGACTATTAAACAGTACAGACGAGCACCTCCAGCTTTGAAACCTGCTGTAATATTCCACACAGGCACATTTACATTTCTGGACTTGACGAATGGAACCCAATTGTGCATGTGACAATTGCAAATAAAGGGACACTCGATTGACTTTAACAAGCAAACAGGCATCAGGGAGGAGCCAAAGTGTTTCATGTGACAGTTTTCTGAAAAACCTCCCTGTAATTCCTTAAAGCTCTGTTTTTTTTTAAAATTACTTTTTAAATGGGAAGGCTTCTCATGAGAGCAAATAGGTTTTAATGTTCCAAAGCAGAGCTTTGTCTTCTGCAGTTCAGTGAGACTTGTGTCAGAGCTGCAGTGAGTTAAGGCAAATGCTTGGGGTGAGCTGGGGGAGCACAACTCTTTTTCTGTCTCCAGTTTTTGTGGCACTGCAAACTTAGGAATGGTGCCAGTTTCTGAAATACTCATACCAAACACCACAGCTTTATTGTAGTCGTAGGAAGTGTTTAACTGTAAAATAATACACACCTGGATAGGTAACATTGAAATAAACTCCAGTCTGTTAAGAATTCCCAATGCCTGTGTGTTCAGTGAAACACTGTTGTTCATACGAGCTCGCTTCCGAAAGATGATCTCCCCCCCAGCCCAGGGGTTTGCTGTTCCCTTTCCCAGCAGTTTGCTGGGATGAGGGGACGGAGGGACCCGCAGCAGCAGACAGGGCCCCTGGGACAGGAGCAGTACCCACAGCCCTGCCTGTCCCTAGCTGCTCCAGCCCTCCCAGGAGAGCTTTGTTGTACCCACCACCCAACCCAACACTGGACTCAGATGTGCTGCTGGGATGGCTGAACCACACTGCCTGACCAGCCTGTTACCACCTGGGGGGGTCAGGGAGAACAACCCCCTTTAGAAGCAGCTCACATCCAGGAGCTGCTGTCGAGAGTTGATGAACAAATGATTTAATTATTTTTCCACCACTGACGCCTCCTGCCAATTGCATGGGGTTGGGAAGATCTTGATGTTACCGCTGTCCTGAGCAGGGAGGCAGCCTGTGCAGAGGAAAGGTATCTCGTAGGACCTGTGTTTTTCCTCTAGAGTCATTGTCAAGTGAAGTGTAGCAGGATGAGATTACTCTTGTATATGATGTGTCTGTGAACTAACTCCATCTGTTACTGGAAGCTAACTTACTAGAATGGGGGGAAAAGAAGCAATACTACTGTGTCCTGGCACTCTAGCTCAGCAAGGTGTACAGTTTGTACCTATCTACACCTCTCTGCATGCATCTCGTTCACAAAGCTTACTTCAGATTTTTTTTATTGTTCTTTGTGTTTTTACTCCAACGTAAACTTTTAAATGCAGCTTGTTCTATGTTTAGTTTTGTTCGTGTAAGAAATTGTTTAACTCAGAACTGACAACCATACTTGTAATTATAACGTGATTGACTGATATTCCTGTACAAATGTTGCTTTTTTAAAATTAATACAGTGCTGATATGGATGGATTACATCCCAACTTAATGGCTTGTGTGGTTATTTCTAGGCAGTTTTCTTACCTCCAGTCTCTAGGGAAGGGCACAGGCAGGTCTGTTCCATCCCCTTCAGGATGCATAAGATGCTGAACTAAGTCCTGCTGACAACAGCTGGACACTGAAGTCTCTGCTGCTGATCTTCACTAACATCTTGGAGAGGGAGCTGCCACCTTCCAGAGGGAGGAATTTCAGGTGTCATTACCCTGTGCAACAGTTCTGCTCTCTGGGTGGGTATGGACCAGAGCACATGGATGGGCTTCCATGTTTTGGTTCCTTTTCTGCCATCATCTTCCTCCCAGCTTCAGAATCCTGGTGCTCCCACGAGCAGGACTTTGCTTGTCAGGAATGATTCCCAGGCACCAGCCATGAAAAGTCTTAAGGACACAGCAGTGGGCACAGCCATACCCTGTGCGAGGGGTGAGCCGAGGGGCAGTGAAGAGCCTGGAGGGCTTGGCTACTGCCTTCCTGCAGGACAGAACACACAGCTTCTCTGCTCTTGTTCCCTGGGAAATGGGGTATGGGCTTGAGCAGGCAGAAGGAGTCAGGCCATGGCCACTCAGTAACAAACAGCAAGTGTGAGTGAGCCCTTCCAAAGCAGCTCG